TTACTGGTTGTATGAATATCCTACATGTGAAGTCTCCTATGCACCCTGCATTCATTTTGAAGCTAGGGAGTGTAGATGCTACTTAAAAGATATGGTAAATCTTTGTTAAACCGGGGACAGTAATTGTCCCAGTTTGGGTTAGGCTGATGTGTAAGTCCCAGGATGGTAGAATGAGGAACAGGGAACAGCGAGGAAAAGTTATTTTAGCTCTTCGTTACTTGTTACTCTTTCATTTGACTCAAGTTTATTGTGCACTGCCTCTGGGCTAGGCACTGCTGCTAGAAGCTGAGAGTGCAGGGGTAACACTAAGACGTGATTCCTATCTTCCTGAAACTTACAGTTTTCCACAGAGCTTAAGAGAGATCTGTTTTGTTCCAGAAGTGCACTGAGAGGAGTCACAGCTAGCCAGGAGGTTTGTGGCAACCTGTGAATTCTTCCAAAAGAATCTCTAAATAGAAAGCTAAGTGTAAAATTAGCCCGATGTAATCAAGATCCCGTGAACTCCTGGAGAGACCAACTTAATTCCTAGAGAAGAATTAAGAAGACCCGGACCGACGAGTCGGCACGGCTGTCCCGAGCGCCATGTCGGGTTCCTCTAGCGTCGCCGCCATGAAGAAGGTGGTTCAACAGCTCCGGCTGGAAGCCGGGCTCAACCGCGTGAAGGTGGGCGAGCGTGGGTGGATGGGCGCGCGAGCGTGGGCGGGCGGGCGTGGTGGGCCCCGGTGGGGAAGCGCGGGCGGACTCGCGGCGACTCGCGCTCGGTCGGCCCAGGCTGCGGCGAGGGGCTGAGCCCGTCCGCCCTTCCTTCCGCCGAGTCTGGCCTCGCGGGGCTCGGCCCCGCACACCGAGTCTCGCCACTCACTTTCGAGTCCCACTTCTCACCCCGATCTTCACCAAACTCACGGCCCCTGTTCGGCCTTGGGACACTTCCGAGGCTGCTTGGTGGCTTCGGTCTACGGCTTAGTGAGCCAGTCTGTTTGCGGAACGTCCCGGAGCCTCAGGACACCACCCTCGCTCAGTCCAGCCACGAACAAAGAGGTGTCCCGAGCCGACTGGCACGGTTTGCTGGGATCTGACCTTGCTGGGCTCTGTACAGCTTCACACGCCCGAGCAACTGATTAGCGCCGGCCTGGGCTGGTCTAACTTTGCCGTCTGTTAGGATTGCTTTGGCCTGGACTGTTGACTTTTTGGGGAAAGGCCTTCTGTCCGTGTTGGTAGACAACCAGGCATTCAAACGCTGTTGTGAGGACTGTTTGCTTACTTTTAAAATCCTAAACAGATTGGAGTCTTTCTCGGGTTACGTGTGTACTTCCCATGAGTATAAAAAATGAGAAAATAAGCCTCCCTGCTAGAAGCTGCCAGTTCCCAAGGTGATTTGATTTTATATTCGGCAGGCTAGTCTTAATTTCCACCGTGCTTTGTGGAGAGAACTAGTACGTAGGTTTCCCAAGTAGAAATGTCAGGGACTGCTTAACTTCCTTGTGGTAACCTTAGGAGGTCAGGGAGACGCCCATCGGTCTTGGTTTGGACTCCATTTCCCTAATCAAATTCACACCTCATCCAAGTGACTTACTCAGAACTATCTGTTGGCCAGATAGAACTCTGAAATTTGAAGCAATCTATTGATTATCATCGTGCACATATATTAACTATCCTAAAGTAGGCCCGGAAGGAGAAATAGTGGGTTGGGGAGGAAAAGAAAGCCAGGTGAATGCAGTAATTACAGCCGTGACCCTTAGCCCTGGTGGCCAAAGAATGAGCTCACAGACTGGAGAGCTTCCTTTTCCTTGAAAAGCCTAGCTGCTCTGGGGCTACCTCCTAGCGATCTTGCCTTGTGCATCTTAATTCTCCCGAAGGCGTCTGAGTGGGATCATTTAAGCCACCACAAATAGACACATTTTTGGAGTTCTCACTCAGGAATTGTAAATGAGTTTTTCCTCGGTTCCTAAATTAGATTAGGTGCCATTTAACACCATCCATGCCATGCTTATGCTGGGTACTTCTGTGTGTGGCGTTTTAAGGCTAGCATGAACTTACTATTGTATTTGTTTAGTTGGTAATTACACGCGCTTCACCAAACCCACAGAGGTAGGACAGGGTATCTGGAATCCTGACTGATAGTTTCACAGTGGCAGCCTCCTGGATGTTAACTGTTACTCTGTCTTGGGCACTAGCGGCTTTTCCATTTGACTCTCAAGGTTCCTGTTTAGAGTGCTGTTTTTTCATTGTCGCTACTGAGCTAGGTTTGTTACCATTGACATCCCTGCTAAAATGTCAGTCATCTCAGCACTCTTTACTCACTGTTCGTCTCATGCCCAGACGTAGTTTCCACACAAATGGTACTTGACAACATTGTGGGAAAGGAATGAACAGGCAGCACTTGGGCTTTTCTGATGGATGCTAACAAAGCCAAATGGCGCAACATTGTGAACACTGGTACTTTACCCTCCATACAGTAGCCACTTTTAAGGGGCAAAGCAGGGTATTGCTGTTTGTATAAGCATTTAAAAACAGCAGGAACCTTTTGTATTCAGAGACGAACACGGGACTTACTGTCCTGAATTACTGTATGAGCCAAACACATGTAGATTTTAAATTGAGTTTAAACTTACCCCAGGATAAGTTTACAACATAGCTGTTATCTGAGGGGCTTTTGATTGAGAGTTGTCTATTAGTTAACTCTTACAGACACATCAGGGTAACAGACATTTGTTGTCATCACCCTAGAGATAGCTGAGATTGAGGATAAGTAAATAAGGGAATTAGATGGTTTTGTGCATTCCTATCATGCATGGCCTATATAGCATTGTTTGCTGTGTTGGTATCTGTCTTCAGTCAGCTAGTTGGAGATAGGGTTTCACCAAGTAGCCAGGCTGACTTCGAACTCAACTGATAGAGTTATAAAACCTGACACAGGCAACTTTCTGCCCTGTTTCATGTGACTTGGAAAACTAAGTGTACCTTAATTTAACAGCTCCAATTTAAGAAGGAAATTGTGTATGCATGGGTGCATTTGGGGAGATAGGTAAGAGACCAACCTTACAGAGGTCCTTCTCTCCTGCCACCGTTATGTGGGTCCTGGAAATCAAACAAACTCAGGCCCAGTTGGACAACCTTGCTGAGTAGCCTGTCTTTAAAAAACACTTTTTTGCTCAGATGTGATTTGGTAGTGTTAGTACATGTGTATGTGCAATCCAAATAGGATTTCAGTGTTGTTTTTGATGCTCTATATTTCCTAAGCAGAATATATGCATAAGGGTAAATGCTTGAATGAATGCATGTCTTTCTTAAATGCAAGACAGTATATGGATGGCTATAAATTTGAAGAATATAATAAAGTGTTTGGTTGTCTGAGTTCTGTGTTAGTTACCTCAGGTTCATTCATGGGCATTTCCAGTTTGCTTTCAAGACAGTTTCCCTATAATGTTCAGTTTTTTGTTGAACTACTAATACTACATACTACTTTTAATAAAAAAAAAAAAAAAAACAAGCTATTGGGCAGGGGACTCAGTTGTTAGTGTTTGCCTGTGAATACAGAAAGTCCTGAGTTGGCTCCCAGCATTGCATAAACTGGGCTTGATGAGGCAGGCCTTTAATTCCAGCACTCAGATGGTATAGGCAAGAGGCTCAAATATTCAAGGCTGTTTGCTACATAAAAAGGTTGAGGCCAGCCTGGGTTACAAAACACAAAACAAATCCTATGCTCCCCAAACCAAGGTGTTAGGGCTTGTTGAACAGCCAAGACATGCTGTGCTTCACAGAGAAGTGGGATTATACTTTGTGTTGAATCATTTGATGCTTACGGTAAGTAGAAAAAATATGACAAACCAGTTTCATTTACTGTTTTAAGTATAAGCCAATATAGAACTGTTAGCTGTCGATTTTGAAGGGCTGTTTAAGTGTTTTCATACATTAAAACCTTACCAACAGACATTTCTCCACACATTGTTATTTATAGGTTTCCCAGGCAGCTGCTGACTTGAAACAGTTCTGTCTGCAGAATGCTCAACATGACCCTCTGCTGACCGGAGTGTCTTCCAGTACAAATCCCTTCAGACCCCAGAAAGTCTGCTCCTTTTTGTAGTCAGCTATCTTGAGGTGAGTTTTCTTCATTCGTACCCTTTCCACATAAAGGAAGAAACATCTAGGTCTTTATCTGTAATATTGACAGCATTTTTGTTTCCCAAGTTTTGGTTTTGAAGGTCAGTGAAAACTTCTAGTAGTCAAGAAGACTAATGGTTTCTATTTTTATCATAAAGGGCTATGTAATAACTCGTAAAAAGGTATGGGAGACTCAGAAAACTCCACTGGGGTCACAGGCATGTGTTTGTATGTACTGGCCCTAAAAGCATGCATATGTGGAGCTCCTAAAATACTAGTTTGCTTATTTACCTGTCAAATTGAAGTTTTAACGAAATGTACAGTACTTAGAGGAATGACTCTGGGTGCTCTGGTGGATTTGGATCAACTGTGGAAGACAGCCAGGGTGGCTGAATAAGCAAACAGGGTAGAGGTATAGGGAATAAGGAATAGGTTTTACCTTTATTTTCATTTGTTGAGCAAAGATAAAACACAAGAGAAGAGATTTGCATGTGGGTTGGCAGTGAACTGGATTTGAGGAATAAGACAATAAATCACTTGCTATTTAGTATATCTGTCAAAAGTTTATATTCTTGTCCTAGATTAAACACCATGTGTGAAAAATTCCAAAGATATGGCCAAAACGGCTATGGCTAATTTACAGTTAATTAAAGGATACTTTCATTGTAATCTTCGATATATTAGTTAGTAGTATTGAATTGGGAAGGAAACTTAGAATGTGTTTTTAAAACTACTTTGTGTGTAGTACACACCCTTACACTAACATTCTGACTCAAAAAGTCCAGGAAGCTGCTGCCTAAAATACCTTGTTACATAGGCTTTGTAGATTTGGGGGTGTTCAGGAAGTGTAAGTACTGTTCCAGTAAATCTAGTGATTGGTTCCGATGACTAAGCTTTTTGAAACACCAAGGAGAAGGGGAATAGAGCTGCTTTTGGGTAACAGGTTCTCCATGAGGGATCCTGTTGAGTCCAGCTCATGTCTTCACATTTAACAGTGTTAGCATTTTCTGACTTCTGGCAATATTCAGTGGGGATCTATAGGAGTTTCATATTTTTATGATTTACTAGAGATTCTTTTTTAGACTCAACTCCTGTATATTTACTAATTTATTTTCATCTAATATAAAGTGTTAAGTCTGAAGTCCTGTTAGTAGCTTTTTTGTTTGAGTCCACACTAAAATGTTTAAATGACTTATATTTATAGATTACTGGGATAAGAACCCAGATTTCAAAATAAAATTAAGGCTGTTAATTCCAGCAGTAAAAGAAACTTTGGATATTATGATTTGAAACAGTTTAGTGTAAGGAAAGGATATTTAGATAAAAAGCACTGCTTCTTAAAACCGTGAGTAAATTTACAGATTGTCTTCCTAAAGTGCATATTGTAACCCAGTGGATCTAAGGGAAGGCTCCAGAACCTGCATTTCTTTTGCAACCTGTGTTGTTGGTCTAGAGTACATTAAAGACATAGTAAAATCACCGGAGCCTATACGCAGCTTATAAAAATAAAACCAGCTTAAGTAATTTAGCAACAGAGAATGCCAAAAGGAAACAACCATTAGAAATCCTCTTAAGAGAATTTTTATCTCAGTAAATTTTCACAGGGCTTTCAACAGCTGGGCCATAACACATTATTTACTTCACTACCAGCTTCCAGGTCTGAGGCCATGGCCAAGACTGATGTTTTTGGTGGCTGTTTGTGAACTTTAGAGGTAAAACTGTCAAACAGTGACTTGGAAATTTTAATAAAATTTGATTATCACTTCCCAACTTTGGTCTTTCACTCTGTGCATGGGTGCTTTTTTTTTTTTTTTTTTTACTTTTTTTCTTTTTTGGTGTGTGCTGAATTTGCTATCAAATGAAGTTAAATGTTTTCTTCTGTTTTTTCCCCCAGAGGTTTTGTGCCTCTTCAGTGTTTGTTATGAAGTACTCAAATTTTTAATTTTTTTACACCCTATTTTTAAAGACATGTTTTACTTTCTATAACTTACTGTGAAGTTGTTATACCTGTTTTTTCTCCTATATATATATATATACACACACTTAACTGTATTTTATAGTTTTAAGATAAGACTGTTTTAAAGTATATAACTGTTACTTCAATATTGAGATCTGTGTTTTATCCTGTATGAATTTTCAAGTCATTTAAGCTGCTGAGTAGTATTTTGTTGCATACATAGATTGTCTATTCATCTCATGGGCTGCATTAAGGTTGTTGCTGTTGACAGTCACATGTTCAGTGTCCTTGCATGTTTTCTGTATATTGTTATGACTGCATCTTAGTAATCATTTTTTTCAAAGGATCCTAGGATTTTCCTCATTGAATGTTTTTATGTTTACCTTTTTATTATGATAAAGTATATTTCAGTAGTAATCTTAGTGGTATGATCTGTACGACACCATAGAACAGGATGATAGATATTGTGCCAGGCCTGAGAACCAGGGAAAAGTTGGGTTTTAGCATCTTTGTAGATTGCATCTTCAAAAGTAAAAAGAAAAGCAGGCTTAGGCTCAGTTTCATTAGAAAACCCTTTATAAACTCATATTCAAATGAGCCACCTAGAAACAGGGTTGACTCATGGTGGGTGTGGACCAGCCAGCCACAGTAAGCTGAAAATACATCAAGGGTTGTTGGTAGTTGAGGGGTCCTGGGGTGGACTAGAGATGTGGCCACAGTGCTGCTGCTGCACAGCGGCTCAGAGGAACAGTGTTACCGGATACACCTTGGTAGCCTAGGAAAAGTGCAAAGTATCGGCATGTGCTGCTCTTACACCACTGTGAGGTGGAAAAACATCATCTCTATGTTATTACTCAGGGAAACAGGCAGAGCATAAACCATTTTCAAAAATGAAAACAACTGTCCTTGCCCAAGTATTACTGATAAAAATGTCTTTTAAAAGTTATTGACACTTTATCTTTGTTTTCTCCATCAGGTTTCTTAAACCACTTTTCATGAACCAGTGGATATTCTGAAGTCTGTACAGAAGCTTCTCTAACACGTGCCATAATACAGTCTTTACTTGTCAATCCTTAACATCTACCTCTCTGAATCTTCATGGATTTCTGTTTCACAAGGTTTAACTATTTTATATACACTGGCTGTAGCATACAATAAAACAGCATACAAATCTCTGGCCTTGTTATTGCTATGAAATGCAGTGTACTAGATTCAATGCTTTACATTGGCAAGGCTTCTAAGAATTTACAGGCTATTGCAAAATTTTATTCAAGATTGGGAGACTTCCACTTTCTTTCAGCTAGTTATGTTGGGAGCAGAGAGACCCCAGATCCTGAATTTCTTGTAATCCCCTGATCTGAGTGCCTACAGCTGCTCTGAGCACGAGACCTTCAGGAGTTCCTGATGGCAGGAGAGTGGTTTCTGGTGGGTTTGGCTGGGGCATGGCTATCTCTGTATAATCTGCCCCTGAACACAATAAAGGGGGCATTCTTGGGGAATGCAAGGATGACCGTGTCACTGTCTCTCTGTCTCTGTGTGTCTGTGTATTTTAACCTCCAGCCCCTTGCCTGAAGCTCGGTAACTGGGTGCCAGCACACAGAGCGCAGACACGGGGGTGCGGTGTGCAGCAAGTTATAGGAATTACTTTAAATATTCCAAATACGGGTGGAAAGTGGCCCAGTGGGTAAAAGTATCTAGTGTGTGATTATGATCTGTATTCAGATCCCTGCCACCTGTACAAAGCAGAGCATGGTTGTGCATGCCCATAACACTAGCACCTGGGGAAGAGGGTTTGCTGGCCACCAGCATGGGTTAAAATGGTGAGCTCTAGGTTTAATGAGACTGTTTAATAAATAATACAGAAAGGGATTACAGGTCCTTGGCACTATCCTCTGGATTCACACAAACAACAATAACAAAAGACTCCAAACAAAACCCTTTGTAGTACATTTAGCAGTTAAACCAGAAAGGTGGTTGCTTTAGTTTGGAAATAACAGTCCCATTAGAAAAATCAAGAACTTGAGCCAGGCAGTAGTGTGCCTTTCATCCCAGCACTTGGGAAGTTCCAGGACAGCCACAGTTACACAGCGAAACCCTGTCTCCAAAAAACAAAACCAATAATAACAGAACTTGAACTGGAGACAGTATCTGAATGAAGCAGGATAGTAGCCGGTGAGTAGGTTAAAAGGAGCAAGAAAACAGGAACTGAAAGATTAACTCCAGTGACCTGTGTCTTGGTGCCAAGTCCTGGCAATCTGGCCTCCAGGACTGGTGTATTAAATCAGGGCTACACACTGTCTACCAACAAAACTTCTAGCCTGTAAGTCCTTTGGGAGTGCATATTAGAAAGTTTGACTCTTCATTCCAAATGACAAGTTTTAGGACTTTTATACCCTCACCAAAATTACATTTATTTTCCAACAGTGGAAATTCATGGCACCTGGTCATTTGTTCAAATATAAGATAAAGTCAATAAATTCCATTTTGAAAAGGATGTTTTGTTAAATAATTTACCAAGATTTTCAAGACAGTTCTGTCCAGCAAAATCCACTACTACTCGCTTAGTACATTATAAATGGAATTTTCTTCTACTTGTATCCATTTCCCGTGGCTGAAAATTAGAGAAGAAAGACGATGAAAAACAACTTAGATAAGCTGGCTTTCATAGATCTTTATGAGTAACACTGCTAAAAACACTATATATATGTATATCTGTGACTCTGACAGTTGTAAGGTTGGATTTAAATGAGCCGAAAATTTCTGTTCCACGCCCGCATGTAGTTTTAAAGTAAAAATGGGAAGGCTGTACTGCTGCTAACTAGGCAGGAAATGCTTTACAGACATTTCAGCTCTTAAGGTGCTTTCCAGTGCTTTTGAGCCCAAACATGGTAGTTCTCAAACAGTGAAGCAGAGCCACTGTGCCAGCCTTCAGAGCCTGCAGGGCCTACGCCCCAGGAAGCCATCCTGGCGCAGTAGGTCTGGGCCTGAGATTTTCCCTTTCCTAGGTTGATGTTGGTCCTGTTTAAAGACCACTGTTCTTTGGGCTACTTAAGCAAATCCAGGTTACTAGCAGGCCAAGATATCACATCAGATCACTTCTTTCTAGGTCATGGGGAAGAAATTCTGTTACACACCTTAACATGTAACTGCATAGTTGAAACGGGTTTTAGAACAACTCCCACATACCTTATGGACCCACTCGTACTCTCCGTACTTCGAATCAAAGGTTCCTTTCTGAAGAGAGCGTAATTTTAAGGTGAAACGTGGTCCGAGTTCCTGAATTCCCACTTTCTTTTCACTCTTGAATATATATCTTTAGAGACAAAAGTTGAACAGTTGGGTTCATTCAAATTCATTTTCTATGGCAAAGCTTACAGGACTTGTTACATAAGAACAGGTTCATACAGACAAAAACGTCTAAATTAGTGTTTGCCCTTACCTGTGAAACCTGAAGAAAATGTAATCCCGCTGATTGTGGAAGGTGGCAACCTGCCTTCCAATAAATTGAGGATCATGAGGAAAGAGAGAAGCAAACATGCGTCCAATAGAATGGCCTAACCGTGTTGTAAAGTTATTCAGAATTATCTCGGGAACATGTTTTGTGGGGTCTTTGCCTCGCCTCTGGAAAAAAAAAATACAATGTTCAGTAAAGATAATGAGAAGAATTATACGTTATAATTTTTGGGTCTAGAATTTAGACAGTTACTGGTTTTGACCGAGGGTCTCACTCCGGCTCAGACTGGTCTGGCACTGAACCTTCCCTAAAACCCTAGCTCTTCTTCCTTGGTCAGAGTAATCCCATGTCTTGGGATTACTGCAGGAGCCACCAATCCTAACTTTGAAAATTCTTAAAATGACAGAAATGTAAGAGATGGGTTATCAAACCCACAGATATATTTAATGTGCTAATATGCACTGAACAGAGCCTAATGTTAACCCTTAGAAAATCAACACTCATAGTAAGAGGACACTGCTACTGTCAGAACTGTTTGTGGCCTCTCAACAACCTGCTGTCATCCGAAGGTAAACAATTAACATCAATTAAGTCTTTAAGAATCTGCTGATAACCTGAGACCAATATTGATCAAGGAATACATAAAACTCACCTTAATTTCTTTACGAAGACGAACACTACTCATTTTAAAATGAGCAGTTGGACCATTTGGCAAGTGACTCAAAATAAGGCCATCTGTTTATAAAGGTTAAGAAACACACCAGACTATATGAGCCCTAGATTGCATAAATAAGTTGTCTTCCGTATGTTTGAGGGTGCCTAGAAATTAGTAGATGAATGTATTTGTTCTTCTGGGTTAACTGAATTTTTCCTACCAAACCAAAGTCAAACCACATTAAATCTTTAAAAAAAAATACTAATCTAGAAGAGTCTTACTTTTTTATTTTTACAGTTAAATACCATCATTCTCAATAGGGTACCAAAAGCTTTCAAAGTCAAAGAATACAACAACAAAAATCTCCAATGACCACTACTCAAGAAGGAAAAAGTTGGGATTCAATGCTACTGGTATGTAAGTTCACCTCCACTGTATGTCCTGTTTGTAAGATGAGGACATGGTAAGAATATCATCTCAGGATTGTAAATTCAATCAAAATCAAAACTGCTTTTTTTTTTTTTTTTTTTTTTGGTTTTTTTGAGACAGGGTTTCTCCGTAGCCATGGAGCCTGTCCTGGAACTCACTCTGTAGACCACTCAGGCCTTGAACTCACAGAGGGCTGCCTATCTCTGCCTCCCAAGTGCTGGGATTAAAGGCAATAATCACCACCGCCTGGCAAAACTGATTTTTTTTTGTTTTGTTTTTTTAAAAAAACTTTTTGGGTTAATGAGAAATTAAAATCAACCTTTATAATCCAGTTATAGTCTAGCATGAACAAAGTGCTAGATACTGTAAACTACAGATTAAATATGAGACCTACCTATCAGCAAGTACAGCAGCCAAAAGCACCAGAGTGCCAGCTGCTAAAGGGACTAGCATTCAAGGGTTTGCAGCACAAAGGTACTCTAACAATGAGTAAGTTAGGAACAAGCAGACAAAACTAAAAGCAGTGGTTGATAAGAGTGTTCAGTTAATAACAGCTTTTAGTTTAAGGGTGACGGGGCATCAAAAAGTGGAAAACTAGGATTGATGGCTCAGGCCTGAAGTCCAGCTGCCTAGAGACTTAAGCAAGAGGGATAAAGTTTCAAGGCCTGTGCCTGGACAACTTTAACCCAATTTCAAAATTAAAAAGTACTTACAGGGATGGAGATAGTTTACTGCAGCCTGGAATTTGAACCCTTCGGCTGCTGTCTTTACTGAGTAAAGCAATGGTTCTCAGCTTTCCTAATGATGCGACCCTTTAATGATTCTTTGTGTTGTAGTGACCCCAACCAGAAAATTATTTCATTGTTACCTCATAACTGTAATTTTGCTATTTTTATGAATCATAATGTAAATATCTGAGTTTTCTGATGGTCTTAGGTGACCCCTGTGAAAGGTTCATTCACCCCCTACCAAAGGGGTCATGGAACACAGGTTGAGAATGGCTGGACTAAAGGCAGCCAGGAGAAGCTATATTACACCCAATTTTTTTTTAAAGCATTAACCAGGCTGGAGAGATGGCTCAGCAGTTAGAGCACTGTTCTTCCAGAGGACCTGAGGTCAGTTGCCAGCACACATGGTACCACCATCTGTAATGAGATCTGGTGCCCTCTTCTGGCCTGCAGGTATACATGCATACATAATAAATCTTGGGGGAAAAAAAGCTTCATCCTTAGATATGTCATCTTACTTTTCTATTTCCTTCAAGCAACCTTAGAATGTGGGGTCTGAATGAGAAGAGTCCCCACTGGCTCATATATGTGAATTGTTCGAGGACTTTAGCAAGGGGTTAGAGGTGTGGCCTTGGAGGTTTGTCATTGGGGTGAGCTTTGAGACTTCCAACACCCTCTCCAGGCTCTGTCTCTGTCTTCTTTCTCCCTCTCCAACTTGTAGACAGGATGTAAGTTCTCAGCTCCTTCTCCAGAGCCATGCTCCCTGCCACGATGGGCATGGACCCACTCTCGGGAGCCGTGAGCTGTCCCCTAATTAAATGCTCTTGTTTAGAAGTTGCTTTGGTCATGGTGGTTTGTCACAGCAGTAGAAAACTAAGACCTAACCAACCCCATTGCACATCTATGTGCACACAACATGAGATTTACACAACAATTCTGTCCCCACTACCACCATGAGTTCTCCTCAGCCTCCGCGTGGCCGTCCCGCTGCTCACTTAACGTTTCCCCTCCACCTTCACTTCCTCCTGACTTGAGATTTCCACCTGGGTCATTAAAGTAAGATGCAGTTGGTGCGCTCTACTTCAACTACATTTTCTGACATCGCTGATAATCACGTTTGGATTTGGCCCTAGGTTCTCTAAGTAGTAAGCCACATGGGATTGAGCTGGGCCATTTCACCTCCCCACACTCTAATGACAACTGGAAGCTGTCATCACAGTCAACAGCAGCACGAGCTTCCTGCCCTCTGTCATCACT